CTCTCTCTCTCTCTCTCTCTCTCTCTCTCTCTCTCTCTCTCTCTCTCAAGGCATAATGAACTAATGCATATGATAATAAATATATACAAAACAAAGGCAATCCTCGCACTTGTATCCTACACATATAGACTATATCCCAGGAAGAAAAAGGGAAAACTCAAAATGTTGAAGTTGGTGTTGATGGTTGGTTGTTTCAGGAGACCACAGCACTACGACTTCCTGCGTCCGTGCTATTTGCATAAATAATAATCTCAACACATGAATTGAAAATGAAAAGGTCCTGCTTGTGGACACGTTGGGGTTGGTCACGAGTTAAGTCGTCAAGTTGGCTTACGTCAGCAGCAAATACCAGATCTAATTCAAAGTTTATTGAATGTAACGTTAGACTGTATTAGTTTGATGTTAGAGGATCAATTTTGTTTGTAGATTATATCTGCCCATTCTAATGCCTTAATCACTATATTAACACTGGAAAGACACTATTGCCGATTGCTTTGAACAGGACTTGACTTACTCTGGACCCGGCCTTTGGACTGGGTCTTGATTCACACTCGACTGGACCTGGTCCTGGACTAGACTTGGACTCGATTAAGTTGGCCTTGACTACAGTCCTGTGTGTGTGTGTGTGTGTGTGTGTTTGTGTGCTCACATTGCTGTAGGAAATCCCAGTGCTTGTCCCACTTCTCAGACAGCTCATATTGCTTAGACACCACCTTGTCCAGCCTCTCCTTGATCTGAGAATCAAAATCAGCGACATCAGAATCACAACATCACAGCGGTGAGAGTGTGGGCCTAGTTTTTAGTTTGAGTTCAGTTGTATTTTTGTAGTTTTTTTTGCAGTTCATGTGTGACTTCCTGTCTGGTCTGTTTGTGTTAAAATGGAAATATAAGTATAATATGTAAATAAAACATCTAAATTATATATATATAATTATAATGCACTGCTCCAGTATCCATTGTAGATTATTAACTGAGGTTCATAATCATTTTCGTGTCTCCAGGTCTCACCTCTTCAGCCGCTGGGTTTCGAGCAGCCAGCAGAGTTTTGCCCATCTCGATACACTCCAGGGTGCTCCGGCTGCGAGCCTCCACTTCGCTCTGCAGACTCTGGTGGTAATTCATCAGCACCTCCACTGAGGACACGTCCCTGCAGGACCCACAGAGAGCAGAGACTCAGCTCATCGGGACACAAAAACACCTGCTTGGTTTTTAACCAGTGTGTTGCTCAGAGAAACCTTTAATCAGATCTTTTGTCTAAAGTGTGTCGCAATTAGGGGACTTAGCAGAACTACGTTTTTATTAATGTTTAAATACCTGAAACTACGAATCTGTTTTTGTTAGCTTAGAATCAGCCCTTCATATCTACATAGTGAGCGGGTCTTCTTCACAGAGTCCGCCATGTTGCTACGGTAGCCCAGAACGGACAAACCAAACACTGAAACTGCAGCAACGTGAGCCGCAGAGTTCAAAACCGTCCTACCGCCAGCTGAATTCCATTGCTCATAAAGTATATACAGTATGTTATAACCTGCTTTAGTGCAGATACCTGGGCTTCTCTCCTGTCCCTATCTGACAGATGATCGATTCCATCCACATGATCTGATCTCGGACCATGCTGAAGAACCTCAGCTTGTCCGTCTCGGTGGTGATCTGCACCCGACACTCCTCGCAGGACGTCAGCAGCTCTTTCCACAACTGCATCACTTCGTGCTCGCGGCACGCGATGGCTTCGGCCTTCTCGCCGGCGTACACCGTCCTCAGCTGGGCCGCGCTCTCCTGCAGCTGACGCACCTGGCAGAGTGGGGGGAGCGAATTTTAGGAAGATGCTAAGCCCGAGCGAGGAACAAACTGAATTTATTTTAAAATAGAAAGAGCGTTTTTTTTCCAAACTAAACACAGCTGCTCTGACTGGTGTGTTTAGTCAGGGCCAAATGGTGCAGGCTGTGTCACTGGAGTTGACGAGGAGCAGCTGTGATTTCATTTCGTTCTACAGTAAAATGTAAAAACACTCTTTTTTGTTCCCCAGGAGCATGACAGAGACTAGATGAAGCAAAATGAAATGCAGAGTAAGATGGTAGTTGTGCCACCAAGATTCAGACTCAGACATCAAATATGTTTTACTATCAATCCATATTAAGTTCCACCTTTAAAAACTCATCAAATTTACAGTTTGAAATAAAAGAAAATGAATCACATCAAAATTACCGGCAACAACATGTCTCTAAACTGGGACAGGCTATTTAGTCCATGTGAATTTGGGATTTTGAACATTGCTGTGTTACTGATTCTACTGATTTCCCTACACGAGTCTTGAGGTGAGTGAACACTGCAGCAGATCATTTTACATGTTGTATGTTAATGCGAGTGCTGCTGTACTTGCGTGACGAGCAGCTGAATGTCCTGCTCGAAGCTCTGCAGGAGTCTCTGCAGGGCATTGGTGTTGGCGGTGCTGCCCTGCCGAGCCCGAACCTCCGGCAGCCGTCGGTGCTTGTCCTCGATCTGGGCCAACACCTGAAGAAGAAGAACGTGAAGCGGTACAGAAGTGTTCCGCGTATACAGTGTGTGGTCTGCGTTTTAGACAATGTCTGTGGTATGAGAGGAGAAGTGAGAAATGTCCGTCTGCGATTAAGAAGTTTAACTGCCTCCGAACAATTGTACTCTCCTCTGTGGGTTAAGGAATGCCCATAAATCTATTACAAAAATATACAACAATGAACTCCTGAGAAAATGTCTGTTGGTTTCTTGTCATATTGCATCGTCGTAAAAATGGACAAACTGGAAAATGCTAGAATTTAAGATGTATGAAGACATTAAACAGTTTGTTCTAAAGAAATCTGATCCTTTGAAAAAAAATGAAAAATTGAAAATAATGACCCTGATGTATTGGACTATATAGTGTACATGTTGTGATGCATAGGATAACCCCTCAGAGATCAATAAGGTGGAATAATTGCACCATATTGTATTGCCCTATACTGTAAAAACCACCATGTCATATCTGTGTTTTGTTTCGCCCTCACCTCTCTGCAGTCGGAGAAGAACTTGTGCAGCTGGTGTGAGGCGGCGAGCATCTGCGCCCGGGTCTCCATGAGCTCCAGCAGGTCGGCCCAGGCCTCGTTCACCCCGTCCTTCCACTCAGCGATGGTGGCGGCCTCCGAGTGGCCGTAGTCGATGAGCTCGTCCACCATCTGGTTGACAGCCGTCACCCGCTCCTGCCCCACGCTGCCCGTCTCTGACGCGAACTCTGTGAACTTCTCCTGCAGGACCTGGAGGTGTGTCGGGGGAGGAGGTAAGAGAGGGACAGGAAATGTAAGGAGGGAGTAAATTCTCCATATGCTCTTAGGTGAGTTGGTTATCCACAAATATATTAGCTGCTATAAATTTTTGGATTTCGACTTTATAAAAAGTGTTTCTTCAATCTATTATTCATCCGCAGGCGCCGTCTGTCGACACACTTACGGTGACATGCTCGTAGTCTTGACCCAGTTCCGGCGAGCTGGCGACCACCTCCCTCTGAGCGATCCACTGCTCCAGCTCGTCCACCTCCCTGTTGAGCTGGTAGAGCCAGTACTGCTGCTCCAGGCGGCTCTTCCTCTCCTCCACCAGGTCCTTCAGAGACACGTACAGACGGTCGATCTGAGACTGGCGCTTGCTGATCTGCTCGCTGTGGAAAAAGAGAGGTGATAGTGCATCAGGTCAGGGCAAAACAAAACAAAACAGGGACGCTTTTCAGATCATGACATACAGTCTCCACTAAGTGGCCACTTTATAAGCTTCACAATGATCTAATACTCAGTAGGAAACCCTAAACTGACTGAACTGTCTGCATGTTGTAGCAGAAATCCAGACAATGTTTGTTCCTTCTACTGTCCGGTTTCGGTGAGTCTGTGCCCGCTGCACATTGTAACGCCCGGTTATTTGAGTTACTGCTGCCGTCCTGTCAGCGTGGACCCGTCCGGCCATTCCTTCTATTAAAAGAAGTGTTTTCATCCACAAAACGGACACTCACTGGATGTGTTTTTGGTTTTGCACAATTCTCGGTCAACTTTAGAGACTGTTATGAAAATCAGGAGATGTGCAGTTTTTGAAATACTCAAACCACTCTTCTGATACAGACAATAATTCGTCAGTTGGAGTCAATTAGATCACATTTCCTCCCTTTTCTGAAATGTTGGTCTAAACAGTAACTCCTGACCATGTCTGCATGCCTTTAGATCATATTCATTTAAGTATAAATGAGTGTTAAGACTTTCTTGTGGAAGAACTTTGATTTGTTTGCCAACATCTTTCATTTTCAAAAGCTGAAATTGGTACTAACGAATTGCAAGAAAAAAAGACAAGAAAACAAACAATGCTTGCAGTCCAGTGAGCATTTCTTTAATACAGTAATTAAGTTATTGTCATGTCAGGATTAGTCAAGACACCACATCACTCCTGAACAATGCTATGTGTACTGTACTTTGAGTCCCCATATTTGTCCTCAAAATGTCAAAAATAACCAGCAAGATTAACTGAAAAAGAATTTGGAAAGATCCCTGAGATTATTTTAACTTTTTTAAGAGTTTTAATGGTTGAATTTGGCAACTCATTTCTGAAATCCAACACTTTCTATTGTGGTCATAATGCAGAAAATGAAGAGCATTCCTGTCATGTATTTTGTGGTGACAGAAAATCTCTGTTAGATTGTGTGTGTGTGTGTGTGTGTGTGTGTGTGTGTGTGTGTGTGTGTGTTTACATGCTCACCAGTCTGGATGGCCCATCTCCAGCAGCTGTCGACACTGCTGTGACAGCAGGCCGACGGTCTCGGCGTAGTCCTCGATGGTCTGTTCCAGGATCAAGTGTTTCTTCAGCAGCTGCAGTGTGCTCGGCTCGTCCTGTTGGGAGTAAGACAAGACACACAAGGAAGGAGTCTCACTTTAACAATAACACACGCCGCAATCAGGGTAGTTATAATGACATCTTTATGCACACGCACTTTCCCCTTCTCCTCGTTCATCATGTGCAGCTCCTGCTCGCTCAGCCAGGCCTCCACCTCGGCCGTGTCGAAGTAGTACTGCTGGGCCTGGTACATGGCGTCCAGGATCAGCTGCCTCCTCTCGGTCTCGACCCAGAGCAGAGCCCACAGCTGGGCCAGCTGGTCCAGGCCCGCCCTGACGCAGTCGGCCTCCGGGCTGCGTATGGTGGCGATGATCCCCGCCCTCTCCAGGACGTCGTCGATCCTGCTCCTGTGGCCCTGCAGCTCCCTCTGAAGGGTCTGGAAGAGAGACACGGGGCAATGACAGGAAAGAGGAGGTGACTGCTTTGATTTTGATCTATTGCACTTCTGGCCATCCTGGGAGGGGGATCCCCTCCTCTGTTGCTCTCCCTCGAGTTTCTCCTTGTACGATGCGAGGGTCCAAGGAGGATGTCGTATGTTGTACAGATTGTAAATGGTCCTGATCTGAGGCAAATTTGTGATTTTGAGCTATACAAATAAATTGAATTGAAATGTAATCTTTCTCTATGTTGTTTAAAACAGACAAACTGTTGGACAAGAGCTAAATAACTACAGTACATAATCAGGTGGGTGAGCGGGTATGGAGGGCTATTCTGCTTTTCTTACCTGGTTCTTCTTCATGAGCTGCTGGACTGCCTGCAGAGAGGAGCCGTGCTCCTGAGACATGGCCCATGGGAGGCGCTCCTGGACCCACAACTACAACCGAGACAATATGACACGCAGCAGTCAACACTTTGTGCACATGTACACCTCACTTACCATGGGTGAATCTGTGTATCTAATTAAGATGTAGAGGAATCTAAATTATTTTTTGGACTCCAACAGGGTTGAACATTAATTTTAGGATTGTGTTTAAGATCGTGTGTGCTCGGGAACGACGGTCAAACTCACAATCTCATCCTCCAGGTCTCGTCCGACTTGGTGAACTTCCTTCGACGCCAGCAGGATGCGTCGTCTCTCCTTCAGCGGCTCGATCAGACGCACCATCCTGGCCTCCACAACGGCTTGGCGGCCGGCAACCGTCTCCTTGATCTGTGTCTGCTGTGGGATAGAGGCCACCTGCACCTGGAGCTGCCCCACCTCCTTATACCACATCTCCATCTGGTTCTCCATGGTCTACAGGGGAGGAGGAGGAGGAGGAGAGGGGGAGGAGAGTGAAAGTTATCAAAACGGATGGAGGGAAAAGAGAATGTGTTGATTAGGAGAGAGGGATGGAGGAAGGTCAGAGGACATGTTGTCACGTGGGACAAAATAAAGATGGGATGAATGAGATGTGAGGAATGTGACAGAAATGTAGTTCTGTGTTGTTTTGACTCTCGGGAAACAGTGAATTGACATATTTGATTTTTATTTTGATCAGTGTTATTGTTTAAAGATCAAACAACCAAAACAGCTGCAAATGCTTTCAGATTTGTAAGTCACCATAACGATATTATCACTCAGTCTGAAAGGAGCAGTGTGTAGGATTAGGATTTAGTGTTGAGGTTGCAGATTGCATCCAACCCCTCTGCTCACTCCCTTTCCTAGTGTGTTGGAAAACTATGGTGGCCTTCAGGTTACGTAAAATGCAAAAGGTTCTTTTTAGAGCCAGTGTTTGGTTTGTCCGTTCTAGGCTCCTGTAGAAACACGGACTCAGTGAAGAAGACTTGATCTCTATGTAGACATGAAAGGCTCATTCTAAGCTAACAAAAACACAACGATTCTTAGTTTCAGGTGATTATACACTAATGAAAACATTGTTGTACATTTTAAATCTAATCTCCGCCAATAAATCCCCCTAGTGCCTACACACTGTTCCTATAAATATGTGTATATATACACATAGTGTATATGTAAAAGAGACACAAACACCATAAGAATATATTAATAATTTGTTGCTAGTAACGCCTGAAATTAAAGCATCAAAGTAAAAATGGCAATAACTACAATCTCAGTTTTAATTGTATATATAATTGTATCTATCATTCATTTTCTAATACATGTTGATATATCACTCGTGTTCAGTTCACTGACATGTCATTATTTCATAAAAGATGGACATGAGAGCGAAGATGAGACTAAAAATAACCCAGTGGAGCGAAAGACTAACTGATAGACATGAAGCGTGGTGAAGCTTACTGTACCCCTGGCCAGGACGGATGCTGGCCAGTGGAGTGTGGTTTGGAGTTATGATGATGAGGTAAAGCAGTGCTAATGGCGGCCTGTTAAAGGAAGCTGTAAGCAGAATGCTGTGGGAGAGGAGAGTGAGACATGTCCGGTGAAATGATGAAGTAATAAAAGGATGAATCTGTGAATCAGCCCAGGTCACACCTGCCTGCTGTTTGCTGTGTAAAGACTCGGACGCCTCCAAACCATCACTGTTGGAGGGCAAGCGACGAGTTACATCCCAACATCACATGTACAGAAAAAAAGGATGGTAACAATTTCTGTTACGACCATGTCTATAATGCGTTATCGACATACTTATACTGCGTTATATCTGCTTATAGCAGTGTAGAAGTATAGTTATTGACACAATAAATAATGCTTTATAACAGAGGTTTTCAAAGTGGAGGCTCCAAACTGTTTGAGGGGAGGCTCAGTGAATGGAAGCTTTGTCTGAGGGGAGGCCCACAGTTCCAGACCCCTGCTTTATTACAATAATCATAACTCAATACAAAGCACTTTATTGTGACTTATTAGGTCAAGCATCATATTACTTTATTACTGACTCAGGATCATAATGTAAAATAATTCCCATAGTTGTAACACATTATAATCTTTTGTATAATGCATTATATTGACTGTTATAATGCTTCATTAACACTATTATAAGGCTTTATAAACACTGTTATAATGCTTTATAATGTGATTAGAAGTTACTCTAAGTTGTCATTAAAAAAATATCTATGCAAGAACACAAAACATAAAATATTTTTTAACTTTACTTAAAGAAAAATAAATAACTTATCATCACATTAAAATGCATTATAACATTGATTAAAATTCCTTTAAAAAAAGACTATAATGTATTAAATTATATGGGAATTATTATATACAATGATGCAAAACAAATGTCAGTGAGTGACCAGCAGTTATGAATTCTTATGATACTTGACCTTATAAGGTATTATTAAATACTTATATTGTTATTAATTATTTATGAATATTTATGAGTGCTTATATCTATAATAATACAGTGCTATGAGCAGATTATAATGCATGTTTATAATAGCATTATAGGCACGGACGTCATAGAATGTGTTACCAAAAGGACATTTTTATGTCATGTTTACTACCTGAAATTAAAGCTATTGGATTATGAAATATGGAGTTATTTGAACCTCTGTAGTCATCCGTGTGCGAGTCTACATGGCTGTCTACACCCTCCATGCTTGAGAATGAAGTTGGGGTCAAATGAAAGCTCTATGGTAATGTATTCATTTTGCTTTGATTAAGTTTTGGTTAGTTGGACTGCACGTACATATTTATATATATATATATATATATATATATATATATATATATATATGAATGCATCAGTAACTCATACAGGAAAGACAGATAGCTGGGGTACAGACACTGTTCTGTTTCTGTTGAACAAATACAGTACAAATCTTTTTGTAATTTTTGCTTCTAGGCCTCTGATAATGAATCAAGCAAAAAACAACTAAAGAGGTCAAATCATTACGTAGCTGAACTGATCAACACTCTGCTTATGCAGCCTTTGAAGAGATCTTTTAGAGACACACGATTTGAACCAGAGGGTTTCTGGTTATTTGTGTTTTTTAAATCCTACGTACATGTAGTTTCTTCAGCTGCTTGTTGACAGTGGTGAGGTCCTGGCCCTGGTCCACATAGGCTAGCTGACCCTCCAGTTGGCCCAGTCTCTGGTCCAGGCTTTCGTAGCTCTGCACCAGCAGGTCGGCCTTGTTGGCCTCAAAGAGCTGGCGGGCCTTGGCCTGGGTGGTGCACTCCAGATCCTGCCAGCACTCCCTGATCTCCTCCAGCTTCCTCCGGACCACCGCGCTGAGCTCCGGCTTCTCCTGGATCAGCTGCTGGCCCTCCTGGATGGACGGGATGAGGGACAAAGGGAAGAGCGGTAAAACAGAGGTCAGACTTTTCATGTTTTAACAGGGGACCATTAAAAGCGATAATGACATACAGATTAGGGTTTAATCCCAATCACAAATAGGCAGATAATTAAATGGTAAACGGACTTGTACTTGTATAACGCTTTTCTAGTCCTATGACCACTCAAAGCTCTTTTAACACTCCATGTCTTTGCCATTCACATCCATTCGTTGTTCTTAAAATGAGCACGTTGAGCATGTAGGACTGTTCCACATACAACTGACTGTACTGACCTGGATGCACATTGCACAATGTTTGAAATGCTGATGTAAAAATACAGAAATCTTATATTTTTGAGTGATCATTGACTTTAATACTATGTCTAACAATGCTTGGCTATCGCAAACATCACACCCGCAGCCTCTGAATGCTAACAAAATATAAAATCCATCTAAACTTAACAGAATCTTTACAAACTCAAAATGACACGCTTCAATGAATTTCAGTTGTTTATACAATGAAAACGTGTCAAATATCACTCCCATGAGGCTGTTCCCGGCAGACAGATTACAGGCAATGAACGTGACATTTCATATTCCTCGCAGCTTTAGCGAAGTTCAACATGAATGTAGTTCTTTTGCCTCAATAATTAGTCATACCACCAAATGATAAACTGAACCGCTCAGGTTTATGCATATTTCTCATGGTTGCATTTAGTGTTGCTTGAAATATGACCAATGCATTTTGATTGTAGCTAACGTTAAGCCTTAAAAACAAGTCAATTTCCCGGGTTAGCGTGCTTCTGCTCCCGGTAAAATATGAACCCTTAATACAGACCGTGTAACTAGTGAACATGGAGAGAAGAGTCAATAGCACATACAACACTTCAGGTACACAAGATGCACTTAAAACTACCGAATGTCACGCCATAATCACTGTGCAATATTCAACATGACCTGTTATGATGATAAGGTCGCTACCAACCTCAATCAGTGAGTCTGTGTCTCTACAGAGCACCTGGGAAGTAGGAACATAAACTCATAATCTTTAAGCATGAATCAGTTTCATGTTAATCACTTTTTCCTCATCACTATGCAAATGTGTGCCAAATGATACTCCAAAATCTAATCACATCGTCTGATCTGATAGCATGAGACTAAAGTTTCTATCAGGTGAGTTTCTTAAGCTGTGGTGTCCAAGAGACGGAAGTGAAAAGGAACAATGTGTATTCTGATGAGCAGTAACACTATAATAAAACTACTGGGTGGGTACAATCAAAGAACAAAATAATACATAAACGATAGAGGGTGCAAAATATACCAGAGATCAATTTTAAACATTTTCAAGGGCTGCAGCTCATTAACAATTTCATTATCAGTTAAGGTGATGATTTGTGTATTTACAATCTTTTGTGTGAATAAAATGTCAACAATCTGTGATCACAATGTGTGATTTACATCAGAAAACACAAACCCATTTTTTTTAACAATGATGCAGTCGGTACAAGTCTTCCCATTTGAAAACAACTAATTATTGTAAAAACGATTTACAATTTTAACAAAGTAATCAGTTGACCCCATGACACTGAAAATGAGGCACTGACATTATAGCTGACGATTATTTGATTAATTCATAAGAAAATGATTTGGCGTCAATTTTAACCATCTACGAATCATAAGTGATTTATAAGTTGGTTTGAGCTTCTCAAATGTGAATATTTTCTGGTCCTCTAACAGTGGAATCCTTCCCTCATCCAATTGTAATTCGTATTTTGCTGACTGTGTGTTTGTATGTGCATATGTTGTAGAGAAAAGAAGAGTCACAGAAAACAAGAGGGAAACAAACAAAGAAAAAGAATATATACATATACATATTTCTATATACACACACATACAGTAACTATTACAAAGCTGTAATTCCTTCAGTGTCTCTATATTCATCCCCCCTTTTTAAAAGACAATAGATTCATTTTACAATATGGCTGCTACTGCCTGTACATGTGAAAACAGGATTCACGTTAATAACTCCTCTGGCCTGATGATGGATGAATTTCAGAGGATCACCAAAGTGATTTGAGTTGATCCTGATGGGGGGGGGGGGTCTTAAATGTGCACCAAATCTTATTGGTATTCCACCAAAACAGTTGTTGGAGATGTTTCACTCAAAACCACAGATGTCAACCTCACTCATCATCATCCACGGAGGACAACATCCTGCCGCCTGATTCACTCAGGTGTGAGAATGGTTAGTAAGGATGTCTGTGGTTACGCCACAGTAGCTGCAAGGTGTTAATGTGAGTATTATAAAAGCATGCTGAGTCATAGGTGGATGTCAGATACTACAAAATATATCAGAATTGATGAAAGTATATCTGAATTTATCTTGAAATATATTTTGCAATAAAGGGCATTTTAGTTTGTTATACTATTCAAGAGTGTGTCAAACAATGAAACATGATATATTTTTCTTATGGTAAGTTACTGTGTGTAACACATGTGGAAAACACCATATATGGTAATTCATTTGACAACATAGTGTGGGATCATTGTCTATTCCCGCGATCAGCTGATTGCGCTGAGGAAACCGTGGCCGCTGTCCGGCGCCAGGCCTGAGATCCCGGCGGAGCTACGGAGAAGGGCTCGGGGCTGCAGGTCGGGCGCTAAGCGGAGGGCGAAGAGGAGGAAATATAAACCTTCGGTACCGGCGATCATAACGGGGAACGTTTAATATATTCCACAATGTCTTGCAAATGTATTACTAAATGTATGGCAAAGTACCAGATCTCCATATATGGAAAATATATTTCTATTGCATAAATGACGAGACGTGAAATCCTATTTCCTACATTAAAAAAAGGTTACAATGAAAAAGATAAAAATACAACCACTATTGGTTTAAAGTCCTGAACCAGCCAAGTACAAGTGAAGAAGAAAAAGAAGTAGCAGAAGGAGAAGAAGCTGCAGTTAACTCCAAGAGGACGACGGGGTTATAATGCATCTCACGGACTCATAGAGAGGAATTAAAAGCTGTACAGTAGGCTGCACTACACCACCCATTGTCCTCTCATTCCCAGCATTGGTGCGTTACGTCAGCTTTCGCTCTGGTGTAGTGTTTCCCTGCATGCTGCTGATACGTGCCGTCCTCTGTGGTGAGTGGGCGGGCTGCGTGGGCTTCGAGCAGCTTCACCCACCGACTCAGAGCTGCTACTCCGCTCTCGCACACACTCAGCCCTGCAGTTCAAAGAGGATCATGATGTTCCACTGCTCACGCTAGTGTCGGCAGAGATCCGTCAGGTAACCTGATCCAAAGCCGTGTGAGGGAAAAATCCATGTTGAGTGCTAAGTTTTCTTTGGAAAGTTTAAAGGTGCAATGTGTAAAAAGATCTGGCAGGAATATTAGTTTGAAACATTCAGATGAACTAACATTATCAGTGTTAATGTCTGTGTATTGTGTATCTACTGAAACGAGCACGCTAACCAGCTAACCCCAGGCCCGTCCTGTCTTATACCACTTGTATCCCGAGAGCCGATAGTGAGTCACTGTAGCGTCCAGTCGGTCCTCAGTCCAACGAGAGGACGAAGAAGTAGGGCTTGATGTTGAAGATATATATGCACGTTTCGATTGATTGTTTGTTTGCTGGATTGAATCTAAAGTGTCAGAAATGGAAAGAAAACAACCGCAGGAGACAGACTTTCAGTCAGCGGTTAGCTCGAATTCAGCCAGCACGAACTCCAGCGCTGGGGGGGGCGGGGGGGGTCAACCTGCTCTTCTCCAAGTGAAGTAGTTTCCTGGTGGCGGGGAGGTGTTTCAGGTTCCTGCCTCTTTGGATTTAATCCAATCAACAAACTATGAAAACGTACACGGACCATAAAGCCCCTGGTTAGTGTCACAGTAAACACACGGACGGCTAACGTAAACTAGAGGCCGACGCCTGAAGATTATAAGATAGCGTTATATGATAGTGTTATTGTGACCTTCTCTCAAGAGTTTCAGCAGTTTGGCTGAACGTTGCTTATTCTTGCCTGCTGTTAGTTAGTAGCAGGCTTTTTTACATTTTTCTTCATAACTGATGAGTGTAGATTGACATTGTATGGATACAGTAGTAGAGGTGAAACGCTGCCCCCTACTTGTTTGGAGAATGTGGCCAGAAATGACACATTGCACCTTTAAGAAGCATTTGACTGACTTTAGACGTGAAGATCAGTTTGCTCGCTGTAAATACAGTTTTGTCTTCTCTACTGTCATCAAAGTGATCTTGGCTTGAGCTCGGAGACATATTAATCTTTACTAGCATGCGTTACACACTGGGGACGAGGAGTTTGAAAGACATTGGTGATTACCGCGCTACCAAGTTGCATTATGGGAATTAAAAAGACCAAGTGTTTTTTGCAGCTGGACTTAAACTCAGGGTATCTCTGACCCGCTGTGTTGATTTTGACCATTCTTTTTTATTCTGTATCTTGTAAATTGCCCCACTTCATGGTAGTCATTGGAGTACCCATTTAATGTCACCCCGTCTAACATGGTCATAACTTTGTTGCAAGTCATTCCCCTCTCTCCCCTCATTTCCTGTCCGCCTCTACACCATCAACTGTCCTATGAAGGCGAAAATGCATGAAAAACAAAATCTTGAAAAAAAGACAGGAAGTAGTCCTCTAAAACCCTATCTTGTACCAATACAACACTACCGTCTTTTAGTAATCATGCTAATAAGGAAGAGCTACCCTCCTGTGATTGAAGATGGTTCAGGGAGCGAGGACTCCTGACACAACGCTGCTGCAGACAGTAACAGATGGGCCGTCCTTATTCTGCTGTCTGGTCTGTATATTACAGCAGACATCTGCTCCTGAGCGTCACCGCTGGTCACAGTGTCTGTCACGCTCAGGCCACTGCAGCTATAGTGTCAATATTTACTCTGAGTGTGAAAAATAAATCTGCTCGTCCGACCAAACAGCGAAAAACCTCAGAAACTTCCAGGATGCAGCTTTGGCTT